ATCCTGTCACAACTATCAAGAAAGCATTTTAGGTCAAGGTTAATATTGGAATTTATGGTCTGTAGATATTAGATTGCACAGTAGTAAGTGTGGATGTTCTGAACAGGGGTAAGTTTAGATCAATGAAGAGTAGGGGGGGGGGTTTTTGCAGGGATGGGAAATTTAGTGATTATTCTTACTGCGGCTTTTTTTTGGGGTTTATTATTGGTTTAAAGGTATGTTGCTGCAGTTGAACCCCAAGCACAGATAGCATAGGTGAGGTATGGATATATAAGTGAATGGAAAGTGTGAGAAGGGCAGTTTGTGGTACGTAGTATCGTATCTTGGAGAGGATCCCACCTTTTTGGATACTTTTTTTGTTTTTGTGTTGGATATGGGTGCTGAAATTTAGGTTGTTGTCGAGGTATAGGCCAAGGAATTTGCCCTCATTATGTCTGGCAATTAGAGTGTTGTCGACATTAAGGTTAAGTGATCGCAACACTGGTCTGCTACCAAACATAATTAGTAGGTTTTGCCAGTGTTAAGTGTAAGCTTATTGGCTGTCATCCAAGTCGATATTTTGAGGAGCTCCTCGTTAACAATGGTGTTGAGGGTGGCAAGATTAGGGTGGGAGATGACATAAGTTGTGTCATCAGCAAAGAGAATGGGTTTCAGGTGTTGGGATATGTTTGGAAGATCATTGATGTAAATGAGGAAGAGCAGGGGTCCAAGGACACTTCCCTGCGGAACTCCAGTATCAAGTGGCCGTATTATGAGCCTGTGTCTTTAATGGTGACATACTGATACCTATTAGAAAGGTAGGATTTAAAATATGCAAGCGCATGGCCTCTTATACCATAGTGGTCAAGTTTGTGGAGTAGGATGCCGTGGTCTACCGTGTCAAATGCTTTTCTTAGGTCAATAAAAATTCCTAGTGGATATTCCTTATTTTCCAATGCTGTGTAAAGCAGGTCTAGCATTTTTATAATTGCATCATTAGTGCTTTTATTTTTCCTGAATCCAAATTGACAGGGGTTGAGTATGTTTTGTGACGTTATAAATGAATATAGTCTCCTGTGCACGAGTTTCTCGAAGATTTTGGATAGCAATGGTAAGTTTGATATGGCCTATAGTTGTTTAGTCTGTAGGGTCACCACCTTTATGTATTGGTGTAACCCTTGCTGTCTTGAGTAGTGTCGGGAAAGTGTTAGTTTCTAGTGACTTGTTAAAAAGTAATGTAATAGCATGCGAAAGGACATGGGCCGCTTGCTTGTACAATAATGGTGGGACGTGAGACAGATTCCCCGAGTTATTTTTAAGTGACTTTATGATTGCGGTGACTTCCGTGGGCTCAGTTGGTACAAGATAGAAGGAATTTGGGAAATTCCCATCTAGGTAGTCCCCGGCACGGGCATTGGTACATGGGATTTTACTGGCGAGATTAGATCCTATGTTTGAGAAGAAATCGTTTATATTGTTAGCTGTATCAGTGGGATGCAGTGGTGTTTCATGAGGCTTAGTTAGAACAATATTCTTGTTTTTTTTTAGTTTGTGAGTCCCCAGAATCTGGGAAAGTGTTTTCCAGGTCTTTTTTATATCTCCTCTTGTGTCAGTGAATCTGCTGGAGTAGTACAGTTGTTTGGCTTTCTTTATTAATTTGGTGAGAACTGTTGAATATTGTTTAAGAATATCTTAGTGTATTAAGCCCTGTCTATATTGCTTTTCATATTGGTGTTTCTTATCAATGGATTTCAGAATGCTGCTGGTTAGCCATGGGCAACCAAGCCGTTTATTCGTGATCTGTTTCGTTTTTATGGACAATGTTTTGTTGTATAGTTAAATATTTTGTTAAGAAAAATGTCTGCCCAATCGTCAATACCATTGGCATTGGAGAATTCTGTAGGCCAGTCAACAGTCTCTAGGTCTGCTGTGAAATTCCTTATTGAGGCCTCGTCATGGAGTCTAAATGAAACTTTGTTGTATTCGAGTGGTGGCTTACTAATGTTTGTTAAGAGGAAGGTTGGGTAGTGGTCAGTAGTGCTGTCTGTGATTATCCCTGATTTAAGGGGGCTAGTATATTGGTCCATATGTGGTCTATTATGGTTGCACTTGTCTCAGTCAGCCTGGTTGGTTTAGTTATTGTTGGTATGAGAAGTGTGTTGTTCATATTGTTGATGAAATCAGTTACAGTCTGATCATCTGGTAGGCCAAGGTTGATATTGAAGTCTCCAGCTAAGAGAAGGTGGTGCTTGTTCATCTGTCTGTTTGTTATTAGTGACTTTAGATTCTCACTGAAGTTTGGGATGTTTGTGTGGGGTATCCGGTATATGGCACCGATTGTTATAAGCGTCTTGAGTTTTTTTTTACAGTAAAATTAGCAAAAATGTATTCCCCATATTCATCATTAAAGCAATTAGTGCTAATACAAGATAGCTGGTTAGAGTAATAGATTGCAGTACCACCCCCAACTTGGTATGGTCTGCAGTTGTGGATTGCTGTGTATCCTGGTAGTGGGTAGATATCAATTGTGTCCTGCTTAAGCCAGGTCTCAGTAAGAATAATGCAGAAGGGTGTCTTTAGTGACTCAAGGAGTGCCAGGAGGTCATCATAGTGTTTGCTTAAGGACCTGATGTTGTAGTTAAGAACTGATAGACTTTGAGCAGTGTTCAGGATAGTGCTGGCTTGTGATGCTGTGTAATAAAGGCAGTTACTTTCCAATAAGTTTTGATTGTGTGTTAGATAATGGAGGTGAGAGCTGACTTGCGACGAGGCATGGTGAACAAGGGTGACTGAGCCGGCGTTCCCACAATGCTATGCAGGCGCCTAGATTTTTTGTTTACGGCGCACACCCACGGCACAGACCCATTCTCTCATATGTAGGCCTATGAGCGCTTTCGCGCTAAATTTGACGGCGCTAGAATTTTGGCGTAGATCTACGGTTTGGACACTCACCGACCAGCCGTAGATCTACGGGACGGACTCTGAAAGGGTTAACCAGACAAACACTATACGTTATCACCTACCAGTAACTAAAAAAAAATCCTAAATAATTTACGATTGCTCAATTAATTAAGCATTACTTCAAACTTAAAAGTGTTTCAATTTCATTATTATAAATTGTGCTAAACTGTAATACTGTAATTTTTTATATACTTCATCTCAAATATAAATTCAGTTGCTGTAAAGCACTTGCTACCTTTGTTGTAATAAGAAAAACGATGTATAATAAAAATTTACTACTCTCTATATCTCTCTATATATTTGCATTTAAATCAAAGTTGTAATCATACAGTGCAAAGAAATCAAACTTTTATTTTTTTTTATCTTTACCTGTAATAAGATAAAAATCCCCAGGTTTTATTTATTTATTTATTTATTTATTTTATGTCTTTGCAAACAGTACATTTAGATTTTGTATTTACAATAGTGGGTTGCAATGCAAAGAGAGCCTCTATTATGCCTAGGCATTATGGGCCAACTTAACATTATTGACTTACAGTCTACTTAATACTAAGGAGTATATCATAGTTGTACAGTAGGATAGTAATTACTTCATAGTTGTTCAGTAGAATATTAATTATAAATGAATCAAAATTTGTAAAATACAAAGATATATTTATATTCTAAAATGCTTTTGTGAAAACAATGATTCAATTATATTCCTGTCAACAATGGATAAAAGGTTCAATGTGATTATTTCAGTTATGATGTGGGAGTACATAAGTGAGTAAATGTGTACTGAGTACATATTTAGCATTTAGTCTAGGGTGATTAAGTGGCTTTTGAGAAGTCTTAAATTGATTTTCAGACTGGGTTACTTTAATATCTTCTGGTAATGAATTCCATATTTTGGGGCCCTTTATGTGCATAGAGTTTTTACACAGTGTGATATGGACACGAGGTATATCAAAAAGAGATCTGTGTCTTGTGTTGTGGTCATGTGTCCTGTTTAGGTTGGTGAGGAGAAGTTTGACTGGGGGGTTTATATTTGCGTATATTGTTCTGTGTATGTAGTAGGCACATGAATAAGTATGGATGTTCTTAATCATGAGCAGATTCAGACTTTTGAAAATTGGTGGAGTATGCTGGCGGGAGTGGGAATTTGTTACCATTCTTACTGCTAAAGTAAAAGGACACAAGTGCAACTAATGTGACATTTTATTGTGGCAACGTTTTGCTCTCCAGGAGTTTTATCAAGCTTGATAAAGCTCCTGGAGAGTGAAACATTGCCACAATAAAATGTCACATTAGTTGCACTTGTGTCCTTTTACTTTACATATTGTCGGTAATTCCACCAACTTTATTACATTCTTACTGCTGCCTTTTGCTGGGTTATTAGGGGTTTTAGGTCATTGGATGTTGGTGATCCCCATGCACAAATTCCATATGTAAGATAAGGGTATATGAGTGAATGGTACAGTGCCAGGAGAGCTGATTGTGGAACATAGTACCTTATCTTTGATAGTATGCCTACAGTCTTGGAGATTTTTTTGGTGATTTGTTGTATATGTGTCCGGAACTTAAGGCTACTGTCAAGGTGGATACCTAGGAATTTTCCCTCTGTGAGTCTTGTGACTGATGATCCGTTTAGCGTTATGTTAATTGGATCATTTGTAGATTTTTTCTAAACTGAATGAATAGGTTTTATCAGTGTTCAGGGTAAGTTTATTAGTCATCATCCAGGCAGATATTTTCTGTAATTCAGCATTGACTGTGTTTGCTAGTATGACTGTGTTTGGGTGGGAAAAGACATATGTAGTGTCATCTGCAAATAATATGGGTTTGAGTAGCTGTGAAACATTCGGTAGATCATTGATGTAGATGAGAAAGAGGAGTGGTCCAAGGACACTTCCTTGTGGGACTTCTACTGTGACTGGTGGGGTGGAAGAGTTAGCATCACTGACATACACATATTGAGTTCTGTTACTAAGGTATTACTTTAGGTAGTTGAGGAAGTGGTTTACTGACAAACACTGAGGCATTAACACCTGACATGTTAACACAAACACGAATTAACTTACGTACGGGTAAAGCAACACGGTTAAGATAAAACAATTCACTGAATTCACAGTCAAATTCAACATATAATTCTTCCTATGAGTGTAACATTCTCCGCCATGACACTCTTATCTCCGCCTTATACTATGTATTATCTCATCTATATAACTATCAGTAAATTTCAAATCACATGAAACTTTAATTAGAAAAAAGCAGATTATAAAAAATATTATAAAGCAAAGTCAATAATTACATAAATTTTAAAGAGGCACAAAATATATTTATAGTATTATCTATTACATTATGTGGATATATTACTTATTGTGCTATTAGATTTTTTTTCCCAAATAAACAAGATTTATTGACAACTATAAATAAGTTTATCTAGGCACAGATACACATAAATACAATTATCATACATAGAGTAAATTACCCAAGATAACCCAAAAAAGGTCACATAAAATGACCTATTTCTATTTCCATTTAAACCTAATGGAAATAAGTCACTGACTTTTTTTGGTTATCCTAGGTAATTACACATATATGATATGTATTGACCTAGTTGAGGTTGCAGGGGTCGAGTCCTAGCTCCTGGCCCCACCTCTTCACTAGTCACTACTAGGTGTATGATAATTTATGTATCTGTATTTATGTATACCTGTACCTGAATAAACTTACTAACTCAACGGTGTGAAAATTAGTTACAGTAAAAGGAGATACATTAATAACAGAGTAAACTGAGTTATTTACATTAAAATTGAAGAGATGATCAGCTTAACAATTATAATAACAATAATAATTTTATTTTAACAAGATACATGTTTGTACAAGGAGTGTAATAATATGGTGAACATGCCAAAATCGCCTTTATATGCAGAACATTTCCGGCAAACTTAAGACTAGTATAAGATTAATAAGGTAACAACATTTCTGTAATTGTACATATGACCATTAGGTGAGTTACAATAAATAAAAGAAAACTGAATATTCAACTAGCTCACGCTTAGTAAGTTCAGTAGAGAATAATTACACTTTTGATATAGTTTATAAAAATACAGTATTACAATTTACCACAATTTAAAACAATTACATACTTACGTATTTACTTACGTACTTATATCTTTACTTACGTATTTACTTACGCATTTACTTTACTTACGTATTTATTTTACTTACGTATTTATTTTACTTACGTATTTACTTACGTGCTTATATTTTACTTACATATTTACTTACGCATTTACTTTACTTACGTATTTATTTTACTTACGTATTTATTTTACTTACGTATTTACTTACGTATTTATTTACTTACGTATTTATTTTACTTACGTATTTATTTTACTTACGTATTTACTTACGTATTTATTTACTTACGTATTTATTTTACTTACGTATTTATTTTACTTACGTATTTACTTACGTATTTATTTTACTTACGTATTTACTTGACTTCTATAATTCCTTATACAATTATATATCATGTCTAAATAAACTATTATTATTATTATTATTAATTACAGAAGGACTCAGAAGACAATGTAAATAGAGGTGTCAGTAGCTCTTACAACCCACACAACGAGAAGGAAACACTGCCAAGATGAACACTATTTTCTCAGTTTTTCGGCTGCCACACTTGTCTGGCGTTGTGGGCGGTATTTATGGAACATGTAGGACAATGTTCACACGCCCACTGGTGCCCACGCCCTCAGCAGCACGCCCACGCCTGTGTTTGGTCTTGGTGGTGGTGGTGCCCCTCAAGCACCACTGCTGCTGCGTCTGCAAACTCCTTTTGGTAAAATATTTACTGCAGTGTTTCCCCTCTCTACATCACAGTCTTTTGATCCAAGGATAATGAGCTAGCTTCCCGCCCCTGGGATCAAATCATATTGCCTCCCGTTCCCCAGCTGTTGTATTATGCCTAGCATTTGCAGTAAATGTAATAAAAATAATAATAATAATAATAATAATATAATAATAATAATAATAATAATAATAATAATAATAATAATAATAATAATTAATAATAGTGATTTTGCCCCTCATGGAAAGTTGCCCATTATTGCAACAATATTTAACAAATCTATAGCATCCTCAACCTTCCCATCCATACTCAAGACAGCAAGGGTCACCCCAGTCCACAAAGGTCTAAATCCAACTGATTTGAACAATTACAGACCCATATCAAACTTGCCCTTATTCTCCAAGATATTTGAAAGAATAATACACAAACAACTTTTCTCCTGCCTTACATCCAACAACATACTTAACTCATGCCAGTTTGGATTTAGACCAAAAAAAAAAATACAAATGATGCTATTATACAAATGCTTGACCTAATATACACAGCTCTTGATAAAAATGAATATCCTCTCGGGCTCTTTGTCGATCTAAGAAAAGCGTTTGACACAGTTGACCACAATCTCTTGCACCTCAAACTGAATCATTATGGCATAAGAGGACATTCTCTTGACTACCTAAAATCCTATCTTAATGACAGACACCAGTATGTACATGCAAATGGAGTCAACTCTGCTATCCAACCTGTAGCTGTAGGAGTACCCCAAGGTAGTGTCTTAGGCCCACTCCTCTCTCATCTGCATCAATGATCTCCCCAATGCATCCTAGCTCCTTACACCAGTTCTATTCGCAGATGACACTACATATGTCTACTCCCATTCAGACCCATCTGTGCTTGAAAACACTGTAAACAATGAACTGCTAAAGATATATGCTTGGATGATGACTAACAAACTCACTCTCAACATAGACAAAACATACTTCATGCTGTTTGGCAACAGAGCTTTAAATATTAAACTCAACATACTGTTAAATGGTTCCCCTATATCAAGACACACGGAGGGCAAATTTCTAGGTCTTCTCCTTGACTGTAATCTTAAATTTCAGTTCCATACCCATCACATAGCCAAGACAATTTCCAAATCAGAAGGAATCCTTTCCAAGATATGCTAATATGCACCACAAATGACTCTCCTTACCCTGTACCACTCTGTAATATATCCTTACCTCACCTATGGTATCTGTGCCTGGGGCTCAACCACTGCCAACCACCTTAGACCCTTAATAATCCAACAAAAAGCTGCTGTGCGGGTGATAACCAGCTCCTGTGCTAGACAGCACACCCCACCACATTTCAAAAGACTCAACTTGCTAAATATACAAGACATACACTCATATTGTTGTGCCTACTACACATACAGAACTTTAAACTCCACTGTAAACCCTTCCCTAAAACTACTCCTCGACAGTTACAACAGAATGCACAGTCACAATACAAGGCATAAGGCACTTTTCGACATCCCTCGAGTAAGACTCTCACTATGCAAGAACGCTATGCACATAAAAGACCCAAAGATCTGGAACTCGTTACCGGAACAGGTCAAGGATCCCCAGACAGCTTATGAATTTAGGACTCTGCTAAAAAATCATCTTATTATTATTATTATTATTATTATTATTAACACACTGGCTGATTCCCACCAAGGCAGGGTGGCCCGAAAAAGAAAAACTTTCACCATCATTCACTCCATCACTGTCTTGCCAGAAGGGTGCTTTACACTACAGTTTTTAAACTGCAACATTAACACCCCTCCTTCAGAGTGCAGGCACTGTACTTCCCATCTCCAGGACTCAAGTCCGGCCTGCCGGTTTCCCTGAATCCCTTCATAAATGTTACTTTGCTCACACTCCAACAGCACATCAAGTATTAAAAACCATTTGTCTCCATTTACTCCTATCAAACACGCTCACGCATGCCCCTCGCACACAAAACCTCCTTTACCCCCTCCCTCCAACCTTTCCTATGCCGACCCCTACCCCGCCTTCCTTCCACTACAGACTGATACACTCTTGAAGTCATTCTATTTCGCTCCATTCTCTCTACATGTCCGAACCACCTCAACAACCCTTCCTCAGCCCTCTGGACAACAGTTTTGGTAATCCCGCACCTCCTCCTAACTTCCAAACTACGAATTTTCTGCATTATATTCACACCACACATTGCCCTCAGACATGACATCTCCACTACCTCCAGCCTTCTCCTCACTGCAACATTCATCACCCATGCTTCACACCCATATAAGAGCATTGGTAAAACTATACTCTCATACATTCCCCTCTTTGCCTCCAAGGACAAAGTTCTTTGTCTCCACAGACTCCTAAGTGCACCACTCACCCTTTTCCCCTCATCTATTCTATGATTCACCTCATCTTTCATAGACCCATCCGCTGACACGTCCACTCCCAAATATCTGAATACATTCACCTCCTCCATACTCTGTCCCTCCAATCTGATATCCAATCTTTCATCACCTAATCTTTTTGTTATCCTCATAACCTTACTCTTTCCTGTATTCACTTTTATTTTTTTTCTTTTGCATACCCTACCAAATTCATCCACCAACCTCTGCAACTTCTCTTCAGAATCTCCCAAGAGCACAGTGTCATCAGCAAAGAGCAACTGTGACAACTCCCACTTTATGTGTGATTCTTTATCTTTTAACTCCACACCTCTTGCCAAGACCCTCGCATTTACTTCTCTTACAACCCCATCTATAAATATATTAAACAACCACGGTGACATCACACATCCTTGTCTAAGGCCTACTTTTACTGGGAAATAATCTCCCTCTTTCCTACATATCTCTAACTTGAGCCTCACTATCCTCGTAAAAACTCTTCACTGCTTTCAGTAACCTACCTCCTACACCATACACTTGCAACATCTGCCACATTGGCTCCCCTATCCACCCTGTCATACGCCTTTTCCAAATCCATAAATGCCACAAAAACCTCTTTAGCCTTATCTAAATACTGTTCACTTACATGTTTCACTGTAAACACCTGGTCCACACACCCCCTACCTTTCCTAAAGCCTCCTTGTTCATCTGCTATCCTATTCTCCGTCTTACTCTTAATTCTTTCAATAATAACTCTACCATACACTTTACCAGGTATACTCAACAGACTTATCTCCCTATAATTTTTGCACCCCTCTTTTGTCCCCTTTGCCTTTATACAAAGGAACTATGCATGCTCTCTCTGCCAATTCCTAGGTACCTTACCCTCTTCCATACATTTATTAAATAATTGCACCAACCACTCCAAAACTA